GAAATTTGGGTACCGTGACAACACTAGTTTGCACTTTATTTCGCAATTCAGAGAAAAAAAGTCAGAATTGCAAGATATAAACTCCGAATTTTTATCTTTCAAATCTGCGTTTACTTCTTGTAATTCTTACAAGATCTCACAATTCAGTTTTTATTTTTGCAATTCTGAGTTTATATCTCAGTTCTTTTCCTCTCAGTATTGCAAGTTTAATTCTGAGTTTTCATCTCGCAATGGAGTTTTAAATTTTTTTTTATTTCACTCGCAATTCTGAGTTTATTTCTTGCAATCCTGACATTTTTTTCTCAGAATTTTGACTTTGCACCTCACAACTCCGTTTCGCATTTGTGTTGTTTCTGCCACGGAATAAAAATAAAAGACTTTTTATCTCATAAATCTGACTTTTCATCTCAAAATTGTGAGTTTATATTTTGCAATTCTGAGTTTGTCTCATAATTCTTTTATTTTTGCAATTCTGAGAAAATTGTGGGATATAAACTCTAAAAAAATTAAAAAGGTATCTGCAATTGTTTATATCTCAAAATTCTGATATTTTACATGTTGCAATTAATTTTTTTCTCCGAGCATGGAATAAAAAATGTTGTTTTTAATTTTAAAAAATGTTAATTTAATTAACAATGTTAATTAAAGTTAATTGTGACTTTTCTCACAATTATTAGTTTATATCTCACAAGTCTGACTTATCGTCTCACTTTTCTGACAATTCAGGGTTTTTTTTGTTTCTTAGGGAAAAAAAAGTAGAAATTGAGAGAAATAAACTCAGACTCTCAAAATTCTGACTTTTTTTCTCTGAATTCTGAGTTTAAATCTCGCTATTCTTTTTGTGCCACAGAATAAAAAATAGAAAAAGTAATTGTTTTTACTTTACCTTTTTCTCGTAATTGGGAGTTTTGGACTTTTCTTCTCGAGTTTTCTCGTTTAGCAGAAGGCTGGACAATATAGCTAAAAAAAAGTGTATCAACGATATAATGTTTCATATCGTTCGGTATCGATAATTATTGACATTTTTAAAAACCTTTTTAACATAAAGAGCAATATATTTTTTTTTTACATTTAACCACTATATTTATAAATTAACTCAATTTATTGAGACAAACAACCATTTTTTTTTTTTCACAGTCAAACACAAAATAAAAATTAAACAAATATCTCAGATATTTGCAGATTAAATAGGTTAAACTTTTGGCTTGTCTCCCGAGGGCGTAATGAGGAAAACAATGCAGTGCATTAAATTGTCAACGCAAGGAAGTAACTCTATAAAAACCTGCATAACATCTAAATTAACTCACATAAATATAATTTCATAAATTGCATAAACAATTATGAACAAAACAGCATGCATTGCTTAATCCAAAGAGCCAAATCGCCATTCACACAGATTGCCTTTAAGAACATAAGAGATGCAGTGAAAAGGAATAAACCTCCACAAATTCGTGATGTGTTTTCTTAACGTTGAAACTGTTTTAACTTTGCATGGCTTTCTATACATCTCTTGTGTGGCACGCGAGTGCAGCAGTCATATTTGTCTGTCTAAAGATGCTCTGGTTTCGGTTTTAACCTAATCAAGATCTTCTCTGCATTGAGCTTCTATATTTCTCTAATATTTTGAATGAATAACGCAGCAGCGGCGCGTCTCGTGGGCTAGACTAACAAAACATTAAAATGCAACAACGTCACTAACATCATCTTCACCGCATCTCGTGCTCCACTGATGACGCTCCCTGACGCACTCCTAACATTCGAATGCAAATGTTTATTTTAAATTCGACTAATATTAATTAATCCTCATCACAGGCGGGCACAGCACTCGTGTTCATGTTTGTGTGTGCTGTCTGCATCACTCAGAGCACGTGCCTATATCGTGCATTATATCGTTATCGAAGAAGGTGTACCGTCGATAAATATCGATACCGTTTCATCGCCCAGGCCTAATTGTAAGACAAAAAATGGCTATTACCTTTTTTATTTTTTATACTGTGGCGGAAACGGGCTTTTGTAATAATATGCATTGCTGAATCGAGCATAACAGCATGTTCATGAGGAAAGTGAATCATCAGGAACCTGCAGGGCTCGTCTGATCTGTGCTCAGGTGTAACTTTCTGTCGGCGGAGCAGTGCCAGGATTGGCTGCGGAGGATCAGCGCAGTCGTTCGACCGCCGGCGCAGCTGGAGGAGCTCTTCGCCTTCGCCTTCCTCTCGTGTAGCGCCAGCGTCTCCGCCGAGGACAGAGAGGTGCATGATGGGATCTGCCGTGCAGGTACTGGACCGTTTGTGTT